TGGAATCAAAAACCAAGCTTAGTGTTGAGTTTAACATAAAGGATCTTGGAAGAGCTAAGAAGATTCTTGGGATGATTTTTTTTATCATCAACTCAAGAAATTTTTATTAAGATTAAAGATAAAAAGGGTACAACAAGCAATTGTTAAGGCAAAGACCCTTTACATCAAATATCCTCCCTACACAATTAACATTGAATCCATAACAAATGATGTCTATGAATTCCTTGCTTAGCTAATCCATCCCTCAACTTGAATCTTCTGAAATCATTTTTGAATTGCCATAGAACCCCTTCACCTTTTTTCAACCAGCCAACAACTATTTCTGAATCCCCTTCAACAATCAACCTTGTAATTCCCATATCCTTAGCTTTTTTCACCCCAACAATAGCAGCCATGAATTCAGCTCTCACTAAATCACCTTGATCAATAGGTCCTGAATACAAACCACATATATTCCCATTCTCATCTCTAAACACTCCAGCAATTCCAGAAGGCCCTGGATTGCCAAAACTAATTCTTGGGATGGAAATCATCAGAGATAATACAAGCAAGCTATGGGTTTCTCAAAGTAAGTATATTCAAAAGATTTTGGAAAGGTTTGGGATGTCAAATGCTAAACCAGTTCAAGCACTACTTCACAATATTTCAAGTTGTAAGCAAGATTGTTACCAAGAACTGATGAAGATAAAGAGCATATGTCACACATACCATATAGTAGTGCTGTGGGAGCCTTATGTATGCAATGGTATGCATAGACCTGATATTGCTCACATAGTTAATGTTGTGAGCAGGTACGTGGAAAATCCAGGACAGCCTTCTTCCATGCATTTGCAAATGGAAGAAGTAAAAGGAATCTGATTACTAGATTTCAGGTAGGAGAGGAAGAGGCCGAAGACTGGGATGACATTTCAAAGACTAGCGGTGGACTTTTATAAGAAGTTGTATACAAGGAGACAATGGGGATGGATCTCTCTAGGAGACGTATAATCAAGAAAACTAAGTGAGAGAGCATCCGAGTGGCTAGAAAGTGAAACTGAGGGGTGAAGTTAAGGAGGTCTTGAAGAGGATCGATGGAGATAAAGCTCTGAGACCTTATGGGTTTAATTTTAACTTCATAAAGCAAAGTTGGCATTTCTTGGAGGACGATTTCATGCAAATGATCAAGGAATTTAGTGTAAACAGAAATCTGGACAGGAGAATTAATTCAACCTTTATTGCAGTATTACAGAAGGAGGCAGGGGCGGTTAACATAAAAGAATTTAGGCCAATTAGTTTAATAAGCAGACCTTATAAACTCTTGGCTGAAGTCCTAGCAAGTAGACTGAGGGAAGTACTTTATGAGGTAGTAAATGAAACCCAAATGGCTTTTGTGGAAGGGAGGCAAATCCTGGATGGTGTGATGGTGGCAAGTGAGTGTATTGATTCGAGGATAAGAAGTGGGAAACCRGGTTTGGTGTGCAAGCTAGATATTGAAAAAGCTTAATGCCATGTGGAGCAAAGGCTGATGGGATTTGGAGAAAAATGGAGGGGCTGGATATACGGATGTATCTCATCTGTCTCTTTTTCTTTGCTTCTCAACGGGGTGTCTACAAAGCTTTTTCAAGCTTCGAGGGGGCTGAGACAATGTGATCCACTTTCCCCACTACTGTTTGTGTTGGTAATGGAAGTCCTAAATTTATTATTGAAAAAATGAGTTCAGCAGGGTTGGTTAGAAGGCTTTAATGCAGGACAGGAAGGGCCATGTATATCCCATTTGCAATTCGCAGATGACACCCTTATCTTCTTAGATGCAGATGTAGATCAGGTGCTGAATTTAAGGGCATTGTTAGCTAACTTTGAGTTGGTAACAGGCCTGAAAGTAAATCTGGAGAAAAGTAACCCGATAGCAGTTGGAGAGATCAGTCAAGAAGACATGGCACAGTTTGCAACAGTTCTGGAGTGCAGAATAGGGGAGCTCCCATTCTCCTATCTGGGTCTCCCAGTTGGAGCCAAATTTGATTCAGTTAGTGTGTGGAAACCCCTCGTTGAGAGAGTGAAGATGGGATTGGAAAAGAGGAAGGCAAGATTCCACTCACTAGGAGGTAGAATTACACTTATCCGAAGTGTGTTATCGAGCCTTCCCACCTATTACCTCTCCTTGCCGAAAGTACCAACATAAATAGCCAACAAGATAGAGCAGCTTCAAAGGGATTTCCTATGGGAAGGAACAAAGGGGTCTAAGAAGTTTCATCTAGCAAAGTGGAATAAGGTTTGCAGGCCAAAAGCAATGGGGGACTGGGGTTGAGAAGGGTGAAGACCTTTAATAAAGCCTTGTTAGGTAAATGAATTTGGAGATTTGGGATGGAGAAGGAGAGAGATTCATTGTGGAAAAGAGTGGTGGTAGGGAAATATGGGGTGGTAAGATTTGGGTGGGAGACGAGGGAGGTTTCAAACACATATGGAGTAAGTGTTTGGAAGGGTATAATGAGGTTTAACCAGGACTTAAGAACTTGATAAGATTCAATGCTGGGGATGGGTCTAGAGTGAGGTTCGTGTGGGGCTGGGTAGTTATGTGACATCTATCCAAGACTTTACAAGTTGACTGATCAGCAGGTTTTGATTGCCCGCTGCTATGAAATCAGAGGTGAACAGGTAATTTGGAGCCCCAAGTTTAGAAGGCCTCTACTTGATCGAGAGGTGGAGGAGTGTATACTGCTGTTGGACAAGTTAGAGAAGACATAAATCTGTTCAGCTAATGAGGATGGTCTGTGGTGGAAAGAATGCAGGAGTGGAAAGTTTTCGGTGAAATCTTTCTACCTGGCCCTCATCAAAGAAGACGTGTCAAGTGATCAAGTAAGTGGGGTGTGGGGGAATCCAGTCCCTCCGAGAGTTGAAGCCTTCGCTTATATGATTGTGTTGGATAGTATCCTCACATCAGAACACTTGAAGAGCAGAGGATTCAGCATGGCTAGCTACTCTTGCAAATTGGCAAACTTTAAATGGAAATACTACTCCTTCCTTTTTGGACTTCCCACTTTCCAGCCTTCCTCAAGAGCAGAAATTTTCTCTTCTTGGCCAAGGTTCAGAGGAAGCAAGAAAGCCAGAATTATTTGGAGCTGCATACCATTTGCAATGTGCTGGACTGTGTGGTGTCAGAGGAACAGGAGACTCTTTGAGGATAAAGAAAAGAGACTTGAAGCTGTGGTTGCTTGAGTTGGAAAATTCATCACAGACTGGATCCTCTCCATAAAAGAATTTGAGCAAACAAGAAATTTAGACTTCACAAAAAATTTCTGGGATCTTCTTGAGACCCAATTGTAATGCAAATCTTTTTAATTTGGACTGATGTATTAGTGTGTCGCCTTGACACCTGATCTGATTRTACTTGTTTTCTTTTTAATAAAATCATTTTTATCCTTACTCTTCAAAAAAAATATTGGCATGCTGTAAAATGGATTTTTCAATATTTGAAAAGGTACTATTGACAATGGTTTATTGTTTGACAGAGGAGTTTGTAGACATCAATTGGTTGGCTTTGTTGATGTTGATTATCCTGGGATTTAGATAGTCGTCATTCAATGGCAGGGTAATATTTCTTCTAATAGGAGGTCCTATCAGTTGGAAGGCAATGCTACAGCCTATTGTTGCATTGTCCACTACGGAGGTTGAGTATATGGCAGTAGTAGAAGGTGCTAAAGAAACTATTTGGTTGACAGGCTTTGTTAGTGAATTGGGCTTGCAATAAGATAAATCAATCTTATTGTGTGATAGTCAAAGTGCAACTCACTTAACAAAGAATCAATTGCACCATGGAAGAACAAAGCATATAAATGTGAAATTTCATTGGATTTGAGAGGTGATTTCCAATGGTAAAGTACACTTGGATAAGGTAAGCACACATGAAAATATATCAGATATTCTTACCAAGCCTGCCACTACTGACAAGTTTAGGCATTGCTTGGACTTGGGTGGTTTGTCTCAAATATGAGATGAAAGGAGATGCTCTTATGGAGCACGAGTGGCACCTCATGGATGTGAGGTATGAGTTCACTGATGATCTATGAATGCATAAGTGGGTTACTTGACATGAAGCACTCTTTACCTTACTTTGATAGCAAGCCAAGGTGGAGATTGTTGGGCTTATGGGGTTTCATCATGGATATTTTTGGGAAATCTTGTAAATGTAATTTGTCTTTATGTCTTGTAATCTCAGCCATTGGAGATTATAAAGATCCAAGGGCTGATATCCTTTAGGTTTTCCCCTTTTATTGTTTATTTGCTTTTGAGAAAAAAGGTAAGGAGAAGACAAGAGGAGGAGAGGAACGTAAGAGAGAAAGGAGGGCTGTAGAAGGGGAAACAGGAGCCATTGTAACTCTATTAGAAGCTTCTATAATGGATTACTTACTCTTAAACGTCCATGGAGGTGGGCCAAAGAGCCGAACCATGTAAATCTGGTGTACTCTGTCCATCTTTCTTCCATTCCCTCTTTATTTCTCTAATTGTTTATCTTTTAGCTCTTGTGTGTTTGTTATGTTTGAACTTTGAATACACTGTTTCATTAGCAGTGTTTTTACACTTCTAGATCAACTTTCTACTGTATTCATTTTTTTTTTATAAAAATACCTCTGAAATGGGATCAAATGGTAATCATTGCAAGTCAAAGTGACAGTTGAATAGATTTAACGATATGTGTTTCTATACATTTCGCTTGTATCAATATTGAACACTTGCGCGTATTTTAAAAACGATGAGTTCATTAAATACTTTACCCAGAATTTGAAGCTAATGAATTTAAAACCAAAGACGGCATTCAATATTTGCCCATAACTCAAATCAATGAATTCATTAACATTATCAACAATGCAGGGGTTTGTGAGA